GGTGACAGTTTCTTCGGTAAGACATTTATTCCTCAACTTCTTTAATAGCTCCTTCAATGTTTTTCTCCAAAATAGTTATTATTCATAAAGAACATGAAGGCTTTTAGCTCTATTGCTAAAACAAACCCAAATGCCACTTATTTGTCCGAAGGAAACGTCTCACAGACCTCATTTATTTTCTGAATTTGCGGTTCATGCAGCAGCCTGAGAGTAGGAAGTGGAGAGTTCACTTAGACCCGTGGACATTTATAGCACAGGAGGAGGCCACTCAGTGCACTATGGTAGCATCAATCAAAAAGATCTGACGACAGTGGTCTCATTTTTCAGCTCTTGGCCCAAATCCCTAGAGGCTACGGGAATGCAAGTAAATATCTAAATACAGTTTAAATATTACAATAGTTTCTGACTCCACCACCCAGTTCCAGACTCACTAAAATAAAATATTCTCAACTCTTAGGCTTCCATTTCTTACCTTAAATCTATGCCTCCTGGATACTGACCCCACTACTAATGAATAAAGTGCCTTGCTATCTGTGCTTCTCATAATCTTAAATATCTCTATGAGGTCCTAACCCTACCTTTAGCTGCTCCAATGAAAGCAGCCCCAGCTAACTTTCAGCCTTTCCTCACAGGCCAGACCTTGCAGCCTGGGTAAATCCCTTCTATCCCAATTGCTAAAGTCTCCATAGCTTCACTCTATTTTAGAGAGACAGTGTCGCCACACCTCAGGCAAGATTGAGAAAGAACACCTTTCCTGGTGCCCTCAGCCCTCAGAATCCACACTGTTAGTATCACTCCACATTACAACCCACCTACCTAGCCAACTGAGCCATGTGACCACCAGATAAAGTAGCCCATCGTTCCTATAATGTGGTAATTTATGTTCTACCCTTCCCCAGCCAAGTTTCCCCTCTGCTCTGAAGTGTCTGAGGGCCCGCAATTATTTTGGGGTTCAATATTTTGAAAGATGACAGATAGCCTTCACGCTGAATGAGTCCAGAAGTACAGAACAGCTGAGACCCAGTCTACCCAGTCCAGACAATCACACATTTCCACGTGATCAGGAGCTGGGCTTTCCCTGCACACAATCACAAAGGCCAATCAGTCCTAAAACAAGACCCTTCAAACTCACCACCGTGCAGGAATCAAGGAGTCAACTCTGAGTTGGCTTGTGGCATCTTTCAGCCGTTGTCTGAAATTTTTTTGAGTTCACGTTCACATCACACTACAGAGATTCAAGGCTGAAAATCAAGGGTGACACTCCCAGAGGGCTGCTGAAAGAGTGCCACACTGCCAGAGGTGCCATCTTGCCCCACCCTCAGGGATGTGCTGAAGTTCTTGTGGTGGCATTTCAAAGAAGAGTGAACGAGTTGCCTGTGATCTCGTGACCTATGTGTATCATTTGACCAATAAAACAAGAAAGGGTTTCACACCAACAGTGTAAAAAGGAACCCTGTAACTTTACAGAATATAAGAAACAGTTGATGTCCGACAATAGACTCTAGAGACTATGGATTTGTTTTCTTGATCATTTCACCTTTATTACAGACAATGCAGATTTGGATTCTATGTGCGGTCTTCATGCACAATATTTCAAAGCAGACGGAGGTCACTACTGTATGTGTGAGGAAGGGTACGTCTCAACTTCAGGAGAACTCATCTTTCACAGTCCAACAGAGTGTAGAAGTAAGGGTGTTTTTTATTGTTGAGAATCCTTGGTGCTGGGCTAAGCATTTTTTAAAAATATTCATTTAAATATAAAGACAGGAAAAGAATGCAGTAATGCTTTGCTTCCCTCGCAACATTGGAGGGAGTGCAGCATTACTTCATCATTTAGCTCAGGGCTGATCTGTTGCTCAGGTCCATTTTTATCTATCATTGTTGTATGTCCCTTGAGACCTCTAACAAACTAAAATCTATGAACATCAGCATTTCAATCTCCCATTGTCCTTCCCCTAATCCACAGCCAGGTATGGTGGAGAGTTCCAGACTCCTCACTGTAAGGGAGTGCTCCCTTGATTTGCCCGCTAAATGGTCTTTATTAGGTCAAACCATTTGGTAAAGTATGAAACTACACTCTTGTACTCTTTGTGATCTTTAATTTATTCACAAAGCACATCATTTCATACATTTGGTTCCTTCCCAGTAACTCTGGGTGCTTTATTAAGTAGGCTGTTTGACTCCTTATTTTAATCATGGAATTCACCTACCATTAAGAAGCTAGCTTTTATTTTGTCTTTTTAATCTTTATCCCCCCACCCCAGTGGGAGTAGGTTTCTCCACCTCTGCTTATTAAAGGTGGGAGGTCATGGTGTAGTAGCTATATTACAGGTTTAACAAACCACAATTCCAGGCTAATGTCCTGGAGGGAAGAGTTTGAATCCCACCAATTTGCATTTGATATTTTACAAATGCTGACCTAGTGATAACCACTTCTAATTGTTGTAAAAACCCATCTGATACATAATGACTCCTACCAATTTTTATAGATGCACCATAGAAAACATCCTATCTGGTTGCATCACAGCTTGGTATAGCAACTGCTCCTCCCAAGACCGTAAGAAATTACAGAGAGCTGTGAACACAAACCAGTCCCTCACACAAACCAGTCCATCACACAAACCAGCCTTCCTTCCATTGACTGCATCTACACTTCCTGCTGCCTCGGAAAAGTAGCCAACATCATCAAAAGCCCCTCCCAACCCAGTTATACTCTCTTCCACCCTCTTCCATCAGGCAGAAGTTACAAACAATTGATAACACATACCAACAGATTTAAGAACAGCTTCTTCCCCGCTGTTATCAGATTTATGAATAGATCTCTCACATAATAGAGTTGATCCTTCTCTGCATCTTCTCTGTAACTTTAACACTATATTCTGCATTTTGTTCTATTACCCTGACTTACTTATGTAAGGTATGATTTGTCTCGTTAGCACGCAAAACAATATTTTTCACTGTATCTCCTTCCTGGTGAGAATAATAAATTAATTCAAAATGTTTTAGGGAGGGAAATCTGCCATCCTTACCCAACCTCTAAACCCACAGAATTGTCATAGACTCATAGAGTCATACAACACAGAAACAGACCCTTTGGCCCAACTCATCCATGCCAACTACGTTTCCTAAACTGAACTAGTCTACCTAGCCCATATCCCTCTAAACCATTCCAATCATGTGCCCATCCAAATGTTGTAATTGTACCAGCCTCTACCACTTCCTCTGGCAGCTCATTCCATACAAAACAACCCGCTGCATGAAAATCTTGCCCCTCAGGTCCCTTTTAAATCTTTCCCCTGTCACCTTAAACCTATGCCCTCTAGATTCAAACTCCTCCACCCTGGGAAAAAGCCCTTGGCTATTCACTTTATCTATGCCCCTCATGAATTTATAAACTTCTATAAGGTTACCCCTCAGCTTCCAACGCTCCAGGGAAAAAACTCGCAGCCTATCCAGCCTCTCCCTATAACTCAAGCCTTCCAGTCTTGGTAACATCCTTTCCTGTTCAATAACATGCTTCTCATTGCAGGGCAACCAGAAATGTACACTGTACTCCAAATGTGGCCTTACCTAATATCTTGTACAGCCATAACGTGACTTCCCAACTCCTGTACTCATAGAGTCATGCAGCACAGAAACAGACTCTTCTGTCCAACCAGTCCATGCCCACCATAATCCCAAACTAAACTAGTCCCTCATGTTTACTCAGGGCTCTGACCAATGAAGACAAACATGCCAAATGCCTCCTTCACCACCCTGTCTACCTATAATTAATGTGGTTGATTCTTAACTGCCTTCTGGGCAATAAATGTTGGCCTAACGCAGTGCTGCCTACCATCCATGAATTAATTTTAAAAATCCATACATCATTTTTAATTTCTGTAACAGTTTGACACTGGACTTTAAGAACGCAAGGTAATAATAGCCTAGTTACTGCAAACTGTTCCCATAACTAAACTCTCCAGTGGGACAGAATATATTATTCCTGATCTGACTAACGTGAAGATTTTGGCCCACTGGAGAAAAACTTGGCAGAATTTGATACAGATATGGTCGCCCCCAACTCCCTGATGCTCCCAATCTCCTGCCATGCAGCAGGGTGAAAAGTTGGCAGAGAACCCACCTCCAATTGGGCACGTTCACCCCAGTGCCATCTTGGACCCATTGAACCATCCGTTGACTTGAGATAGGACTTGCACCTCTGTCTCCAGATCAGAAGCTATGAGTCCTGCAGCGAGTAACTCATCTCCTGATTCCCCAGAGCCTGTCTACATTCAACAAGGCACAAGTCAGGAGTGTGAAGGGATACTCCCCACTTGCCTGGATGGGTGCAGCCCCAACAACACTCAAGAAGCTTGACATCGTCCAAAGACAAAGCAGCCCGCTTGATTGGCACTAGATCCACAAATATCCACTCCCTCCAGCACTGACGCTCAGTAGCAACAGTGCGTACTATCTAGAAGTTGCACTGCAGAAATTCACCAGGGCTCCTTAAGCAGCACCTTCCAAACCTACGGCTACTTCCATCTAAAAGGGCAAGGGCAACAGATACGTGGGAACACCACTGCCTTCAATTTGTTCTCCAAGCCACTCACCATCCTGACTCGGAAACATATCGCCATTCCTTCAGTGGTTAAAATCCTGGAATTCCCTCCCTCATGGCATTGTGGGTCTACCTACATAAGGTGGAGCATAGCGGTTCAAGGAGGGAGCTCAGACCCACCTTCTCAAGGGCAGTTATAGATTGCAACAAATGCTAGCCCAGACTGAGACACCAACATCCCACAAGTGAATTAGAAATAAAATCGGTGAGGAGATGCCACCCAGTCTAATGGGGTTGGTGGCCAATCCCTGAAAGTAGCTTGATCCAATGAGTCCAGGGATTTCTGAGGCCGGGCTGGCTACCCTGGGTGGGGTGAGGATGGGGGCGCGAGGAGTTGTTCGTCAGGGTGTGGAATGTATGTCAGGGTGGTTGGGGAAGAGGAAACATGAGAAGGGGTAGGACTAGCATGGGCGTGGCCTCATTGGGCTCAAGATGGTCCAAACAGAGGTCATTCCCAAAAACCACCACACTGGAAAAAATGGCTGCCACGTGGTAGGGACATCTCCCATAATGCATCACTTCCCGCAGTGGCAAGTGGAGTGCCATCAGTTTGCTGTTTGAGAGCCCTGATTGGTAACATTGCCACAGTGCCAAATTCTATTAACCTCCCATCTGACAAACCCTCCTCCCTGCTTGAAAAAATGTTCTTCGTAGAGTGGGCATCAAAGGGTCAAATTTGGCTCATTGGTTGGCATTGAACTCTATGTCGTCGGATCTGAAGCCCTAGAATTAGAGTGCATAACCCTTCAAGGAAGTGCTGAAATATCTTTCAGATGAGATGATAAACTGAGGCCCTGTCGGTCTTCAGAGGAGGGTGTAAGATGTTTCATGGCCCTACTTCAAGAGGATTCTCCCTGGTATATTGGTCGATGCCAATCTCTTTCAACCAACCTCATTTAAACCTAACAGATCACCTACTTAGCATCCTGTCTAAAGGATTATGGGAAACGTGACAATCTCCACATAGACCCCATGTTTTAAATGTTGTAAAACACAATCAGAATATTGATAAACCGATCAATCAATCCAATTGATCCTCAATAAAAACAGAAAGTGCTGGAAAACCTCAGCAGGTCTGGCAGTACCTGTGGCAAGAGGAATAGATTTAACATTCTGAATCCAAAATGAATCTTCTTCAATTCTTCAGACTCTTCAGTTGAAGAGCAATACTGGACGTGGAACCCTGACTCTGTTCCCCTCTCCACAGATGCTGCCAGATCTGTTGAGTTTCTCCAGCACTATCCCTTTTGGTTTCTGGCATCCGTGGTATTTTCCTTTATTTAATTGTTCCTTATTTCAACTTCAGGAAATGTTTCAAAAGTCTTAGAAGAGACAAGAAACCTGGACACGTTTATTCTTCAACTGAGCCAACAAGATTTGCAGAAAATATCTGTGGTGGTGAGTAATTGATATTTTCCCAAGTTGACATATTCCAGATTCTACTCTATGTTAGCAGGTGACTGGTGAGTCCAGGAAGCCTTAGAGATGGCAAGTAAAGCAGAATGAACCCTTTTGGCTTTCTGCTGTGGCTCAGGAGGTTAGCTGTGTGTTGCCGGTCAGAAGTGCGTGGATTCATTTCCAGGGACTTAAGCACATGATACTCACGGAGGTTCTCCACGCGATACTGAGGGAACGCTGCTCTGTCATTTTGATGAGCTGCTAAGCCAATGCTATATTGATGAGATGGGTTGAATGGCCTCCTCCAATCTTGGGGCTGGGATCTTATGGGCGCAGGAGGAGCACCACTGCTGGAGTTGTACTTAGGCAGACTTTCCGTCACCTGGAGAGAACATCCAGCAAAACTTGGGAGAGCCCTCGAGATCTGGTGACCACCCTGATCGCTCCCTTCCCTTCCCTCAGCAGCGACCAATTTCCCCCAAACATCAACCCTCACAACTCTACCCAGGCCCTCAATGGCCACCACACTTCCTTAGAATCTTACCCCATTGACATCTGGTTGCAGTCCCAGCACTGACCACGGCTCCCGGTGGCGCTACTGCGACCAATTGGCAGGTCACTCGAGGGGGTGCAACCTCATCCCTTAAAGGGACGAGGGTTCTGACTGTGAGCAGTTAATTGCAAGTAAAATCTGTGAGATCAGAAATCTCGCAAATGGCCAAGCCTGGGGTACCCCTGGCCAGTGGAACATGACCTGTTAAATCCTGGTCTTTCTTTCTAGCCATCCCCTCAAGCTAATGTAAAAACATCTGAAGGACAGAGTATTCTAGTCAATGGTTAAACTTTTACTGAAAGATTAATTGATACCTTGTTTGTGGGATCATACTGTGTACATATTCTCCTACTTTGCAATATCGATTGAACTTCAAATATGTCTAATTGGCTGTAAAATGTTTTGGCATGTCCTAAGAGTATGAAGAACAGTGTAGAATCTTTCCTCACCTCAAACCTCAGGTTTTTTTTAATTTGTTGGCGTGTGGTTTAGTTCACTCAGAAGATCCAAGTTGCTATGGTAACGTGCATGCAGCCTGGAGCTATGGATGGCGATGGGGGAGGCTGTGATTTCTTTCCCATGACCCTTACTGCCTGTCATGGTGTATGTCAGAAAGATTCGCAAGTTGACAATCAACCTGTTTGGCCACATTATTAAAGCAACCTCCTTGACCATCAAGTCCTGAAGTGGGATTTGAACCCAGAGCTGGAAATAGAGACATGCTGCCAAAATTCACCATCCTATGTCATCAGGACAGATGCAAGAATGCCAACAATTTATTTTACATGAGAAAGGAGTACTGGTTGGTTGGCAAGGTGGTTCAGATTGGTCAATGTGTTGCATGGGAATGTATGGAGGGTCTTTCCCCCATCCAGTAGAGGCTATCATCAAACATATATGGCAGATGCTGATGTAATGGGTCTGCACATCCCTTGGAAGCTGCACAGTGAATGATCCATTTTGGCAAACATTGGCCTCTCTTTCAGTCACTGCTGCTAACTTTAGCATCACTGTTTAGCGTCAATGTTCGATTGTCAGGGACAAATGGAATGGTGGAAATCTGAAATTGCCGGCAAAACTCAGCAGGTCTGGCTGTGTCTGTGGAGAGAAAGTGGAGTCAAAGTTTCAGGTCTACTGCCCCTTCTTCAGCACTGGAGTAAATGATAGGTGGAAATGGAGTCCAGAGAGGGAGAAAAACATTGGGGCAAAGACAAAGGACTGACTAAGGATCAGTCTGGGAGAATGAACAGATGCCAATGGGGACCATTAATGGCTGACAAAGGGTTGTTGGTGGTGGTAGCCCACAAGGCCTGGTGTTTGCGGGTTGGGATAAAGACATGGGAGAAGCTACTCAGGCCCTAAAATTATTGAATCCGATATTGAATCCAGAAGGTTGCAGGGTCCCCAAGTGGAAAATGAGGTGTTGTTCTTCCAGCTTGTGCTGACCTTCCCTGGAACACTATGCCAAGCCCAAAGCAGACATGTTGGCCAGGGAACACAGTGGCATGGTGAAAATCACCTTTGACTATCATTTGAACTCTAAGCATCTTCCCTCTCTGCATGCTGCAACTGGGTGATTGGAAATGAAGTGTAGCTGGAGTCTGCTTCACATATTGGCCCCTTCGATATTGTAGTGTCCAGAAGACATGGACATCATGCTTTTGCCCTTCGAATTGACACTGACTCCACCCAACCCTGGACATTGTCCCAGTCACTTTCTCGTCACTAATGAGGCAAGTTGATGCATTAATGAGGCATTTTAACAAGCTGCTATGCCCTTAAACTGGCAACTCACCACTGATTAGTGAGAAACTCACTCCCAAAATTGAGATGGGCCTTCCTGGACTTCTAGTTTGATTCAACCACATTTCTTACCATATGGCACATCACTCAGACCCCTCAAGGATCCTAATCATTGTTACCAGAGGGAGGCGATGGCCTAGTGATGTTATGGCTAGACTGTTAATACAGAGACCCAGGTAATGGTCTGGGTATATGGGTTCAAATCCTGCTATGGCAGATAGTGGAATTTGAATTGAATTTTTAAAAAAATCTGGAATTAAGAGTCTAATGATTGCCATGGATTCAGTGTTGATTGTTAGGAAAAATCCATCTGGTTCACTAGTGCCCTTTAGGGAAGGAAACTACCATCCTTTCCTGGTCTGGCCTACATGTGACTCCAGACCCACAGCAATGTGGTTGGCTTTTAACTGCCCTCTGGGCAATTAGGGATGGGCAATAAATGTTGGGCTGATCAGCAGCACCCTCATTCCACAGGTGAATGAAAAAAAACAGCCAGTATGTATTGATAAATAACTATGATTCAATTCCTGGTATCCAACTTCCTGTTTGTGCACTTGAACAGATGTCATTTGTTCATAGTTTTTGTTTGCTGAAAAGTGTAACTTTCTTGGAAGAATGTCCACTTTTTTACAGATATAAAACAGACCAACATGATGTTGATGTCCAATGTCAATGCTGTCCTTTAATCAATGGGTTTGGAGCACCTCGGGATAAATGCCTGCATTCTCTTTCACAGGAAATTGCTAATCTGACAGAGAGAATTGTCAGCAAGCTGCAATGGGAGAGCATGGAGCCTGGCACCAAACACACTGCAGCCTCGAAGCTGCTACAGACCATGTCCAGTTCAATGATGGCCGCAGCCTTGAATAAACCTAATGGGACGTTGACAACATCAACAGAGTCTCTGGGTAAAGCGCAACTGAATTGTAGTCCGAAGGCCTGTTTGCAACAGTACAGTGCACTGCCACTTCTCTCGCAAAGATGTCTTACACCAAGGACAGGGGGACAGTTTCACTGCTCCATAAGAGCATGGCTACTTTGAATCTTAACTTTCTTGACTTTATTCACTCATGGGATGAGGGCGTTGCTGGCTAGGTCAGCATTTATTTCCCAGCCCTAATTGCCCAGAGGACAGTTAAGAGTCAACCACATTGCTGTGGGTCTGGAGTCACATGTAGGCCAGACCGGGTAAGGATGACAGATTTTCCCCATAAAGGACATTAGTGAACCAGATGGGTTTTTCTGACAATTAACAACGGATTCACGGTCATCATTGGACTCTTAATTCTAGATTTTTTTTTATTATGGAATTCAAATCCACCATCTTCCATGGTAGGATTGAAGCTTGGGTCCCCAGAACATGACCTGGGTTCCTGGATTAACAGCCCAGTGATAATACCACTTGGCCATTGCCTCCGCTGAACTTCATCCACCAGCTTCTTGTGCTTAATCATCCAGCCCCAACCCAAGCCCTATAATGCTTAAAATAATTACAATGATGGCTTTGTTCATGTTTCTCATGCTTTACATTAAGGAGCAATAGATGGTTATAGCAACCATTTGAGGTGTTTGCCTCAGGTGTGACCAGAAACTATGCCAGCTTTTGTTCATTTTTTTCTCATACAACACAAGAAATAGATATAGCCGGCTAGATATAGTTCTTAAGGGAGAAACCAGGAACATGGGACTGAGTTCGATGATCAGCCATGATCATATTGAATAGTGGAGTAGGCTCAAAGGGCTGAATGGCCTACTCCTGTTCCCATTTTCCATGTTTTTTTAAAACCAAATTCAACTCTCTCCCCTGTCCCCATGTCTTTAATGTTCCCATGGTGCTAATCTTTGGAGTTACCACAAAAGCCTAGCCTTCTCAAATGTGCCCCTTACCTGAGGTGTGCTGACCCTCAGATTAAACTCACCACCAGATGTCTCTCTCTCTCAGAAATATATCGCTGTTTCTTCAGTGCCACTGGGGTCAAAATCCTGGAATTCCCTCCCCAAGGACATTGTGGGTCTACCTATAGCACATGGTCTGCAGCAGTTCGAGAAGGCAGCTCACCACCACCTTCTCAAGGGGCAACTGGGGACGGGCAATAAATGCTGGACCAACCTGCAACGCCCACGTGCCATAAGTTCAAAAAGAAACAAATGAGAGAAAGAGTTTTATTGTTGGCTGTCCTACATTTACACCTCACAGTTTTTTCTTAATCTCCTGCACAAGTGGTAGCATCTAAATTCATCTGATGAAAGTCTTATATGATTTAAACAAAGCCTGTCAGTCCCCTTTTATTTGGAGACCACAGCACCAACAACAATTATGCGCCATCAAATAATAATTGAGTCTTTGAGATTTTGATCAACGTGGTGTGCAGAATTCAACTGGAGGGAAAGCTGTGGAGTGGAGCATGTAGAGACGAGAATTTCTTCGCCTCAGGTGGAGTTCTCGAATCAGAATTAAACTCAGAGAAAAGCCCAGCAGGCCTGGCGACATCTGTGGAGAGACGAAACAGGGTATGACTCTTCTTCACAGAAGTAAGAGTCCCACCGAACTCGAAATGTTAACTCTCTTTCTCTCTCTCCACGGATGCTGCCAGACCTGCTGAGCTTCTCCAGCACTCTCTGCGCTCGCTCCAGATTTCCCGCTTCGGCAGTGTTATGTTTTTTCTCCAGTCAGAATGTTGGACCAGCAGATTGACAGTGAATGCCAGAATTTATCTTCCGTTAATAGTTTAATCATGGAATGAAGTATTCCAGACATTTCTCGTACTTTGGAAAACTTCACTTTTTTTGCTGAGAACATTGTGCCTGCACTCTCGGGAGTTTTAATGAGAGATGATCTAAACAAAACATGCACGTTTCTAAGGGACTTGAGACACAGATGCTGGGAGATGGTTTCAAATCTTTGGGAAATCTAAAACACCAGGGCACAGACTCAGAGTAAGGGATTGCATGCAGAACGTTGTGAAGCTTTGGAATTCTCTGCCCTAGAGGGCTATGGATTTTTGAAGATATTTAAAGCTGTTATAGATTCACAGAATCTTTGGTCCAAAATGCCCATCCTAAATTAATCTAGTCAGCATTTGGCCTGTATCCCTCTAAACCCTTCCTATTCATGTACCCACCCAGATGCCTTTTAAATGTTGTAATTGTACCAGCCTCCACCAATTCCTCTGGCAGCTCGTTCCATACATGTACCACCCTCTGTGTGAAAAAGTTGCCCTTTTGGTCCCTTTTAAATCTTTCTCCTCTCACCTTAAACCTATGCCCCCTAGTTTTGGACTCCTCTACCCTGGGTGAAAGACCTTGGCTATTCACCCTATCCATGCTCCTCATGAATTTACAAACCTCTATAAGGTCACCCCTCAGCCCCCGAGGCTCCATGGGAAAAAGTCCAATTTTTGGCCTCTCAAGGAACCAAGGGATATATATCGAGTGGACAGGAAGGTTAGATTAAAGTTAAAATTAGCCAATTTGATATTAAACAGTGGAATAGGCACAATCATCAAATCCTGCTTCTGTTTATACATATTAATGCTTTCATAGGTGTCCACTGTGGCTCAGGATGTAGCAATCCACTTCTTTGTCCAAAGTTTCAATCCCCAGCCCTGAGTGCTAAATGTAGTCTATCACTTCCAGTGCAGCACTGAGAGAGTCTCAGACTACCCAAGGTGCTGTCTTCCAGATGAGCAATGTTACACTATCGTGAAAAGCACGCCAATTCGTGCTGTTGTGCTGCGTATTAACATGGAGTCATAGATTCATACAGCAGGGAAACAGACCCTTCAGTCCAACCAGTCCATGCCAACCACTCCACTCCTATCCCAAACTGAGCTAATCCCACTCGCCTGCACTTGGCTCATATCCCTGCAAACATTTTTTATTCATGTACTCATCCAAATGTCTTTTAAACATTGTAAGTGTACCCACATCTACCTATTCCTCTGGCAGTTCATTCCACATGCAAAACACTCTCTGTGTAAAAAAATTGCCCCTCGGGGAGCCAATGGAAGTCAGATGTAGTTATGTCACCTTCCAGTGAACAGTATCTTCAATTTCAGTGCCCGTGCCCCCAGTTATCGTGTTCTGGGGGTGGGCTCGGGGGTGATTGGCAAGATGGTCGGCCGGGGAGTCATCCTAATTTCTGTCCCCCTACATCTGCCGAAAATAAAATCCAGCCTCTCCCACTGTTTGTGGGAGCTTGCTGTGCTTAAATTTCCAGCGTCATTTCCTTTCCCACAGCAAAACTCCATTTCATAGGCTTTGGGATATCTTAATGTCGGGAAAGCTGTGGTGCTGATACAAGATTGGCTGAGAAGGCTCAAAAGGCCTACTCTTTGATGTACTTATGGATCCCTTTTTGTTGAATTAAGTTGCGTTGTAGATGAAGTCAGGATTCAGACACCTTCGCTTATTTCCCCGAGATAATTTTGGACATCCAATATAATCCAAGATGATCGTTAACAGACAAATCACTCTGTGGTTCACATTTTCAGATCTCAAAATAAAGGTTCACCATGGAGACATTTCAGCAAATGAAAGGTTGATGTTAAATGTGAGGGGCAACAACATGGAACTTTACTGGAGAACAGCCATTGGACAAAACTATTCAGGTAAAACTGGCTAGCTTTACAACAACAACTTGGCTTTATGCAGAAACTGAACTGGACTAGCCACATAAACACAGTGGCTACAAGAGCAGGTTAGAGGCTAGGAATACTGCAGCTGGTAACTCACCTCCTGACTCCCATGTCCACCATCTACAGGGCACAGGTCAGGAGTGTGAGGGAATACTCCTCACTTGCCTGGATGGGTGCAGCCCCAACAACACTCAAGAGGCTTGACACCACCCAGGACAAAGCAGGCCGCTTGGTTGGAGCTCCAACCACTATCTTCAACACTCATTCCCTCCACCACTGATGCTCAGTAACAGCATTGTGTTCCATCCACGAGGGGCACTGCAGAAACTCACCAAGACTTCTCTGACAGCACATCCCAAACCCACAACCTCTTGTCTCTTTAAGGACAAGGGCAATAGATACATGGGAATAACACCACCTGCAATTTCCCCTCCAAACCACTCGCCATCCACAGTTGGAAATATATTGCTGTTCCTTCGGTGTCTCTGTGTCAAAATCCTGGAATTCCCTTCCTAAGGGCATTGTGGGTCAACCCACAGCACATGGACTGCAGTAGCTTGAGAAGGCAGCTCACCCTCACCTTCTCAAGGGGCAACTAGGGACGGGCAATAAATGCTGGACCAACCAGTGATGCCCATATCCTATAAAAAAAAATGAGAAAAAATAAAATCTTTTCAATGGAGGCTTGTGGAATAACGTCAGCCCAAGACTCAGTCACAAAAGAGGTGAACAAGAGTCCCACCCCGAAACGTCAGCCTTCCTGCTCCTCTGATGCTGCTTGGCCTGCTGTGTTCATCCAGCTCCACACTGTGTTATCGCTTACTCCAGCATCGGCAGTTCTTACTATTTCTAAGTGTTCTTTCTATCTCTCTCTTTCTTTCCTTATTCTGTCTTTTTATTTTTTCCATTTCTCTCGTTCCCCTTCTCCCACTTTATGACTATTCAAGCAGCATCTGTGTAAAGTAAGGAATGGTAAAAGAGTCGGAGAAAGTAGATAAGGAAATAGTAACAGGTGTAGCTCAAAGATCTTTAATCCATTCAAATCACTTGTCTCAAAGGGTCGTGAATCTGTGGAACGCAGTACCCCAGAGTACAATGGATGCTGGGACCCTGCGTCAGCAATGGGTTCTGGCGAGCGGGCAGGATCGTGGAGTCAAGGCATAGATGAGATCAGTCATGATGGTATTAAATGGCAGAGCAGGCATGAGGGGCTGAATGGCCTACTCCTGCTAATGTTCTTTTCCAGTCGATGGGCAGGAAACTCAATGATTTCTCACCCAGAGCTGATTTCTCCTGCACATTCGCCTTATATATCTAGGCCATTAACTCTGATCTTCTCTCCACACCTACTGCCCAACCGGCTGAGCGTTCCCATCTTCCAGTATTCACCTTATTTTGCGTTAGTTATCCTTCTGTCCGGTGTGGTCCCCATCTGCTCACCGCCCTTTCTCACTTTCCAGGTATCGCTGCTGTTGGTTTCTTTGCCTACAGCAACCTGGACTCCATTTTGGATGGGGATTTTGTGGATGAAGAATGCGGGAAAAGGGAAAAGATGGGCATGAACTACTGGATAAACTCAGATGTGGTGACAGTGACGACAGCAAATATGCAGAAAACCAAATTGCGCGAACCTGTCAACTTCACCTTGAGACACAATGAGGTGTGTTTCTTTTGAATTGTCCTTTGAATTTTGAGAGATTATTTGTTGTCGCTCACACAACCCTCTCGTATCAATCTCTGATCCAATGGCTTTCTTTCCCCTGTCCAGTGTGTGGTACAGAGCTAAAGCAAACCAGGAGGCTTCAGTTTTCACGCCCCAAGACCTAACTTTTCATTGACTTCCCCTGTTTTAAGTTTCAGTTGGAAAGCTTTAAGCTTCACTTCTGGTGAAGCAAAGCACAAAAATATGGAGATAAAATCTATTTCCTCATCTAATACGTATACAATCATCATATGGCCAGCCTTGTTTGGTGCTGGTTCTGCTCAAAAACAACATCAACCTGTCTTACTGCTCCTTCAAAACTCGACGAACTTCTTTTCTCTTCAGACGCTTATCCAAACCCGCTTGAAAGGTTCGATTGAACATGTCCCCGTCACACTGTCAGGTAATGTATTCCAGATTATTAATGATGTATTCCAGATCCTAACCACTCACTGCAGGGGAAGAAAAGGAATGTCCTCATGTTAAGGAAATAAGGGAGACAAATGGGGATGTTTTGCACCGCATGCACATTACCAGAGAGGAGGTGATGGCAGCCTTAAAACGCATCAAGGTATAAGGTCCTGAGGAGTGTTGTGGAACGGAGGGACCTAGGAGTATAAGTACGTAAGTTGTTGAAAGTGGCGTCACAGGTAGACAGAGTGGTGAAGAAGGCATTTAGCATGCTGGTGTTCATCAACCGAGTATTGAGTATGGGATTGGGACGTTATGTTACTGTTATATAAATCATTGATGAGGCTGCACTTGGAGTATTGTGTACAGTTTTGGTCACCCTGTTATAGGAAAGGCATAGTTAAACTGGAAAGTGTGCAAAGAAGATTTATGATGATGTTGCCAGGACTAGTAGGCCTGAGTTATAGGAAGAGGTTGGCCAAGATAGGACCGTATTCCTCGGAACGTAGAAGAATGAGGGATGACCTTATTGAGGTGTATAAAATCATGAGGGGCATAGATAGGATGAATGCATCTAGCGTTTATCCCAGGGGTCAGGGATTGAAACCTAGAGGGCATAGGTTTAAGATGAGAGGGGAAAGATTTAAGAAGGACCTGAGGGACAACTTCTTCATGCAGTGTGTGGTTCGTAATGTGGAATGGACTGCCAGAGAAAGTGGTTAAGGCAGATACAATAGCAACATGTAAAAACAATTGGATAGGTACATGGATGGGAAGAGTTTAGAGGGACGTGGGCCAAATGCGGGCAATTGGAACTAGCCGAGTGGGCACCATGGTCAGCATGGACCAGTTTGGGCCAAAGGGCCTGTTTCCATGCTGTATTATTCAATGTCTCTATGTTTGTATTGGCTAACCAATTTGTGCCCTCCAACTCTTCTGCAATATGAAACAGTATTCTGTTCAGTTTTCCAATAGAGTTACAGCTAAGCCAATTCCTTTCTTTATTCATTCTTCTGTTGTATTTTAATTAGAGTGTATGGATAAAGTGACTTTTGCTTCAAATCTGGTAGTTTGACCAATCAAATTGCATCCGAAAGGCAGCATTGTGCACTTTCCTATAAAATAAGAAAAAGTTTCTGTTCAAACTGGAGTGATTGCAGCTAATGTCAAACATGGTAATTTGGGAAGCTATCAATTCTCATGCAAGAATGATTGAAGGGAAAGACTTAACGCTGTTGGAATAGAAATTTCAGAATTTGGCCACTCATCCCTCTGAATTAATGCTTGAATCTTCCCATAGTTCGTTTTATCATAAGCTTTCACTTGAGTTAGTTCAATAATTATTTTTAATAAAGGCTATTGACTAATGAATCCCAATGACATGCCTATGGTTTCCAATAAATCGAGAGATTATTCATAAACTTTGAGTATGACTACCACCAATAACCTCTTGTAATCAGTTGGAGGCTTTCTAGAATGTACCTCAGTGCCCCTATACTGGAAGCATCTCCTGCTCACTATTCCTGCTACATGCAGACAGTGACTGAGCTCAGGTTTCGCTGTGATGAGTTCTGAGGTTGAAGAGCCACCGTCCATGCCAGTTGTGAGGATAGCTGCCTCTAGGAGGCACTGAAAGCCTACAGAACTGAGTCAAGATCTTGTGACAACTCAAGTGGTCTCCAAATGAATGAATAATCTCATCCAAATCTGAAAATAAAAAGGCACAGTCGCCTTGCCAGGGTCACACTGTCTGGTGCTGTCTTTTAAATATCTTTGCAAGTGCTTGCATTTGTGGGTCAGTTAGCTAGATGTCCAATTTATTAGAACCATGGAATAAAATCCCTACAGTGTGAAAGCAGGCCATTCGGCCCATCAAGTCCACATCTCCTATGCAGTGTAACCTGCGCGCCTTGCTCTATCTAAGCACCCTATGATCTGTTCGTTCTTGTTTGCTATGATCTGCCTATACTGCTCACAAAACAAAACTTTTCACTGTACTTAGGTACACGTGACTACAATAAATCAAATCACCAACCCTCCAAAGAGCATCCTACACAGACCCACCTTCGTACTGCTGCATTTCCCCTGGCTATCCCACCTGGCCTGCATATCTGTGGACACTATGTGCAATTTAGCTTAGCCAGTCCACCCTAACCTGTGCGTCTTTGGACAGTGGGAGGAAACCAGAGCACCCAGCAAAAACAGGGAAAATGCGCACAGACCACACAGACAGTCACTCAGGGCTGGAATCAAACCCAGGTCCCTGATACTGTAAGGCAGCAGTTCTAACCACTGAGCCACCTGTACTAACAGTCTAGGTCGAACTCCCACACAAGCTGGAGCTACCATGAAGGACTCTCCTTCTCAACCTCTCCCCTCACATGAAGCGCGATGACCCTCAGGTTAAACCACCACCAGTTGTATCTCTCTGGCTCAGTAGGACGATGTTGACTTGGATGTGCAGTAGTTCAAAGACCCATTTTGTAAATGTGACCGGAACAGTCAAGGTGACGAGTGCTGTGTGTTTGGTAACAGGAAATAACGTCTAAGAGAATTCCAGTTTGTGTCCATTGGGAAAATTCAAAGGAGAGAAGCTTCTGGTCTCCTGGAGGCTGCAAGGTGCTTACCTTCTCTCGAAACCGCACAACCTGTGGATGTTTGCACCTGGCTAACTTTGCAGTCCTGATGGCCCCTGCTGAAATGGAGGTAATGTATGTCAATTAAAATCTGCACAAGAAATAACACTCCTGCTGATTCCATCAACTTCTCTCTATGACTTCCCTCCTCACCATCCCTTCCTTCAGTCTTACAACCCTCTCCGATCTCTGCATTCCTCCAATTCTGGCCTCCTGTGCATTTCCCATCAGTGGCAGCTGTACCCTTAGCTGTTTGGGTCCTGAGCTCTGGAATTCCATCCCTAAATCTCTCTGTTGTAAAAGAACAATTGTATCTGAAAGGATTATCATGGCTGATATCTTTCTCAACCCCGTTCTCCTGCCTTCTCCTCATAACCCTTGATGCCCTTAACAATCAAGAACCTGTTTACCTCTCTCTTAAATACACTCAACGACTTGGACTCCACAGCCCTGTGTGGCAATGAGCTCCACAGATTCACCGCCCTCTGGCTGAAGAAATTCTTCCTCATCTCAGTTGTGAAGGGTCACTCTGAGAGTGTGCCCTGAGGTCCTAGTCTTTCCTGCTGGTGAAAACATCTTCACCACATCCACCCTATCCAGTATTATTTAGATTTCAGTGAGATTCCCCCTCATCCTTCTAAATTCTATCAAGTGCAGAACCAGAGTCATCATCCTCTGTTCATATGAGTAGCCCTTCATCCCTGGGATCATTCTTGTAAACTAGTCATGTCTTAGTGTTGATAAGTCCATGTAACTAACAATAATACCAACTTAATTTTACGTTGAGCCTGATAGCCTCACAAAAGACTGTTATGTAATGCAAATAGCTATTAAGTACTATGTAATAATCCTATCCTGTTTATCAGGATTGAGCATCCATTCTCCTGAAAGCTACATGTGGTCACCCTTTCCTCACTATGCTATCAATGACTGGGCTCATACCCATAAGAACACAGTGCCAGTCTATCCAAGGCATCTCATGTGGTTCTGATGAACATAGCCATCATATCCATGTGGACTGAGGTTGGATTTCACCATATATGCTACTTCATCATATATTTCACCTTGCTATCCTCACATAAAACACTCCTGAAAACCTATCTCTTTGACCAAGCTTTCAATGATCAACACCTTCTTCAGTTGATCACTGTCGTCATGAAACACCTTTGGTTATTTTATTGCATTAAAATTGCCATGTAAATGCAAGTTGCTGTTGAGTGTCCATGTTCCTTTCCTTCAGTGTCACCAAGAGATGCCTCCATCAAAACAATCCCTTAAAAAGTTCCACACCTTGTCTTCATCTCAAAGATTGCTCCAGTTAGAATCTATTCCAGTTCAGAAAGTGAAGGATGGGGCAAAAGGCAAAACCTAACCAAAATCACAAATGTACTCTAAAGTTGAGTTGTACAAACGTGACCTTCAGGTAGTTTGCAAGTTCTCTTGCAACTCAGGTCTATTTTCTGCTTTATTTTGTACTCGCTGATTCTGGGCTCTGCTTGAACACAATGGGCCTGGGATTTGCTGCTTTGGAGATGTGGTTAAAAAAAGCAATCTATTGTTAGCTTTTCTCCTATCCCATCATGATACCTGGTGTTGCAAGTGATTCCTTCTCCTCCAGTATTGCCTCCTTTCAAAACAGCTCACCTCACAATCCCAAAAACACAAATGAGATCATTCCAATCTCTCCGTGATTGCAACTCATTGCTCCATTCCCAATCTCCCTGCTGTCACCTCTTTGTGCATCTTTCTTTATTTGTTCACGTGGGTATTGCTCAGTCCTAATTTCCCTTGATCTGAGTCACTTTCTAGGCCATGTCTGAGGGTAGTTAAGAATACTTTGCTGTGTATCCGGAGTCACATGTAGGCCAGACTAGGCAAGGGTGGCAGATTTCCTTCCCTACAGGACAGCAGCAAACCAGATGGGTATTTTCAACAATCGACTGCATCATCATGATCATCACCAGACTGGCTTTTAATTCCAGATTATTTTTGTGAGGAATTCACATTTCGCTGTCTGCAGTGGTGAGATTCAAACCCATGTTCCCAGAATATTTAATAAAAACTGGAAGAACTGCGGTTGCTGTAAAACAGAAAGAAAAACAGAAATTGCTGGTAAAGCTCAGCAGGTCTACCAGCGCCTGTGAAGAGAGATCAGAGCTATTGTTTCAGGCCCGGTGACCCTTAGCCAGAACCCTTCTGAGAAACATTGAAACACAGAAGATAGGAGGAGGAGGCGACCATTCGGCCCTCCGAGCCTGCTCCGCCATTCATCATCATCATGGCTGATCGTCCAACTCAACAGCCTAAACCTGCTTTCTCCCCATAACCTTTGATCCCATTGACCCCAAGTGTTAAACCTCGCCCCCTCTTGAATACATTCAATGTTTTGGCATCAACTTCTTCCTGCCTGAACTCCAGTGAAAACAATCCCAACCTAGTCAATCTCTCCTCATACATCAGACTCACCATCCCCGGAATCAGCCTGGTAAACCTTCACTGCACTCCTTTGAGAGCGAGAGCATCCTTCCTCAGAAAAGGAGACCAAAACTGCACAAAATATTCTAGGTGTTGCCTCACCAAGGCCCTGTATAACTGCAACAACACATCCCTGCTCCTGATCTCGAAACCTCTCACAATGAAGGCCAACATACTATTTGCCTTCTTTACCGCCTGCTGGACCTGCATGGTTACCTTCAGCAACTGGGGCACAAGGACACCCAGGTCCCACTGCACACTCCCCTCTCCCAATTTACAGCCATTCAGGTAGTAATCTGCCTTCTTATTTTTGCTTCCAAAGTGAATAACCTCACCTGAAACGTGAACTCTGATTTCTCTCCACAGATGCTGCGAGACCCGCTAAGCTTTTCCAGCAATTTCTGTTTTTGTTCCTAAAATATCAGTCTGGGACTCTGGGTTACTTGCCTACTGATATCACCACTACACCACAGCCACTCTCAGCAATTTTCATGGAAAGCATTTGCCTGATTTAAATGAAAATAATCCTAAGCAAAGACATTGGTGACCTTAAACCTTTCTGCAATCTTTGACCCTGTTGGCCACACCATCCTCTTCCAATGTGTCACCTCCATTGCTCAGCTCGGAGACCTAGATTGGTTCCAGTCCTAACCCTCCAATGATATCCAGAACATCTCAACCAATGAGTACACCTCCCATTCCTGCCACCATTGCCTCTGTCACCTAAGGATCTACACTTGGCCCCCTTCACTTCTTGATCTGAAAGCTGCCTCTAGGTGGCATCATCTGAAGCTACGAGATCAGTGAGCTGTAGGCCACTCGGCCCCCCAACCCAGTTCCGGCTGCTTCAATTGTGGCCTCAACTCCTCCAGCTGCTGGCTTCCTGGTATTTAAAAGGGACCTAAGGGGCAGCTCTTTCACACAGAGGGTGGTGTGTGTATGGAATGAGCTGTCAGAGGAAGTGGTTGAGGCTGGTACAATTGCAACATTTAAAAGGCATCTGGATGGGTACATGAATAGGAAAGTTTAGAGGGATATGGGCCAAATGCTGGCAAGTGGGACTAGATTAATTTGGGATATTTGGTCAGCATTGGCAAGTTGAACTAAAGCGTCAGTTTCCATGCTGTACAGCTATACGGCTCTATAACTGCTTCATTAATCAAAAATCTACCTGAGTTTGCCTTATTGATGATGAACCTGATGCATCAGGGAAAAAGTGTCAAATTTCTAGCCAGCTGTATATTGTGTTTGTCCAGCTGGGCGAGTCAGCACCTTATTGTTGTTTTTGCAGGATGAATATGTCCTTCACCTGATCACTCTCGTTGGAGTCAGCCTCTCGCTCATCTGTCTCACAATTTCCATTGTCACATTCGCCTTGGGCCGTTCGATTCATAGTGAGACCCGAATCATTCACCTGAATCTTTCCATTAGCCTCTTCCTGGCAATATTACTGTTCGTAGTGGGCATTTCCAGGACAGGCCACAAGGTGAGGAATTCTGACCTGGAACTCACTCCTCTTCGGATCCACTTCTTAAGCATCAATGACAGTAGAGCAGCACTCGATAACTTCACTGCACAGGGACCAGGAAAGTGACAGGACACTAAACGTTAACAGGGACCAACGGACCATGGCAGGTTTGTTGGTTCAGCCGCGGGAAGTGAAGAATTGGTGATCACTGGTGTTTTGCTAATTGGGAGGCTGTTTCTAGTGAAGTCCCATAGGGGCCAGTACTGGACTCCCTAGATGGTTGAGCATCTCTTCTGAAATGAAGGGCCCATCATTGGAAAGTTTGCTGATGATATGAAGTTTGACTGGATACTTGATGGCAAGAGAAATACCTGTAGACTGCATGAAGCTACCAAATGGTCGGGTCAGGTGGGCAAAAAGGAAAATTGGCAAATCAAATTCGATTCGGGGAAGTTGTAAGGGTTTACGCATTGGGAAAGGCAAACAAAGCATGAGCTCACTTAACATAGAAACATAGAAAATAGGAGCAGGAGTAGGCCATTTGGCCCTTCGAGCCTGCACTACCTTTCAATATGATCATGGCTGATCATGCCAATCTCAGTATCCCATTCCCAGTTTTTCTCTTCATACCCCTTGATCCTTTTAGCTGCAAGGGCCATGTCTAGCTCGCTCTTGAATATATCTAACAAACTGGCCCTATAGCTCCCTGTGGGAGAGAATTCCACAGGTTCACAACTCTCTGAGTGAAGAAATCCTTCCTCTGCTCAGTCCTGAATGGCCTACCCCTTATTCTTAGACTGTGACCTCTTGTTCTGTACTTCCCCAACATCGGGAACATTCTTTCCACATCTAGCCTGTCCAGTCCCATCAGGATTTTATATGTTTCTATGATATCCCCCTCATTCTTCTGAATTCCAGCGAGTACAAGTCCAGTCGATCCGGTCTTTCCTCATGTGTCAGGGAACTGTTACTCATTACATGGCAGGATGATGAAACTTAAAAAGGAACACAGGCATCTGGCAACATCTGTGGAGAGAGAAACAGAGTTAATATTTCCAGCCCCATATGAGCCCTAGATTCACCTCTCTCTGATGAAGAAATTTCTCCTCATTTCAGTCCAAAAATGG